GAACCTCCGCCCCCCCCCCCCCCCCCCCCCAATGCTTACTGGAATACAAAGAATTAGAGTTCATACTTAAATTTATAATAATACAGTAACTTATGACCAGGGATCCTGGTTTTCTCAGTTTAAAAACTCCCAAATTCTGATCTTTTTTTTTTTAAATCCCCCAAATCAGCATTTTTCCACAATTTAAAATGAAATGCCACTATGTGTGTATGTGGATCAGTTGGACCCAATGCTTTATTGATATATTTACAATTTTTAAAGCAATTTGGAAGCCTACCAGTGCCTCAGTCATTATAATAAAATCAGTTTTAAATGCCTATGTATCTTTTTGGCATTTGAGAGATATATTTTTATTTATAGTGGAAAATCAGAGCTTCCCCTGCCTCTCTTGCTTACCAGAAAACAGATCCAGCTGTGGCTGTGCCCCCCCCTCCCCCTTCCCTTCCCTTCCCAGCTGCTTTGTGATGCTGAGCAGCCCTGATATGCTGGAGCCCCCTAACCCCCAGTGTGTGAGGAAGGGTGTGTGTGTGTGGGGAACAAGGTGGGCTACACAAGCAACACATGGGAGAGGAGCACAGGCAATGCATAGCAGTGGTGGGGGGCATGCCCCCCCCCCCGATTTCTGCGCCCACAGTGTCGTGTGGGATTGCAGCCAGACTGTCCGAGCAGGAGCTGCCTCCATAGCGCAGCAAGTAGGACCCAGCATGGGAGGCAGTGACACACTGCTGTGGCTGCCAAGGTGAGGCATGGCAGCAGTGGCATAGAGTTCTGCCCCTGCTGCTGCTGGGCAGGTAGGGAGGGCCTCACCTTGGTGGCCGTGGCGGTGTGGCAGTCCCTCTTGTGCTGGGCCACAGAGGTGGCTTCTGCCTGCAGCTTGTCCAGCCTGGTTGCAGCCCTGCACCCTGCTGTGGGTGCAGAAATCTGGGAGGGCATGTGCTCCCCCCACGTATCGCCTGTGCCCCCCTTGTCCCTATAGATTTATCTGGAAGGAGGTGTTCTCCACCACCCTGCCTGGCTGCCACGTGCATAAATTTTTATTTTTATTTTTTTTGGCTATCATAGAATTGTTTCAAATATTCATGTCTTAACTCTGCTGAACTCTGCTCTGGTACAAAAAAAAAGTCTCTACCAAAAAAAATGCTGGAATTTAAAACAAAATGGTGCAATGCTTGGGAGATCAAGCCTGAGATCACTTGCTCTTTTTTATGCATAACATTAAGTTTACAATTATAACTAAAACTTGCTTGCAGGGTATGTTTTAGCTAAGAAATGAACATTTCAAAGTTCAAGGTCTGTCTAGAATTCTTTTGAATAGAAAGTCATGTTCCATATTCAGTCAAAATAATAAATATTTTGTTTCTAGCCCACAGTTGGATTTGAAGACAGGCTTTTGATTAACCTTGTAGAACTCGGAGTTCATCTCTTGAGGTCTGCTGTAAGAGAATATGAGCCTTTTTCACCATGACAACCCCTTTAAGCATGTGTGTATGAGCAGGAAGTGGATTATTTGGATGTTGTATTCTTGTTGGCCTCTAACCTTGCCATAATGTGCAATTATCTTTCAGAGAATAGGTTTTCAATAATTGTTGTAAGTGCACATTTATGCATGTAATTTTTTTAACTGTTTTTTTTTTCATATGGCCTTCCAGCAATGGGGTGCTGACCTTATTAGCTGCGCAAATGTTATGAAAGAATAAATATTTAAGAGTAATCTCTAAAGTATCCCTGCCTGTGTTACCAGAATTTGTATTGTTGAGCATATAGACTTTAAAAATGTTATTGCCATTGAGGTGGTTCTTCTTTTTTGGCTTTTCTACTGTATTTGAATCCACAGAACTGTCAGTTAAAGTTGATACATAATCCAGCTACTCGGTCTGGAGGAGAGCAGGTAGAGAACTGACTTCTACTGTCTTTATTTGGGTGGGGGTGGTTCTTGTTCGTTTAAGGAAACAGCAAAAATGGAACTGCTTTAAACCTGGGTTGGCAGTGCTCCTTTTAATTCAGCTTGTACATCCAGTGTAATGAAAACTGACACCTAGCACCTCTCGCTTCTGGCGTACACTATTAGGAAACCGTACACCTTTCCACCCCATCAACTGAGGAAAAGGAAGCCAGCTGCTACTTATTTCCTAGATCCTTTTTGATTCTTAAGGCAATTTAACTCTTGCATTCTCTGGCCTACAACTTCCCTAGCAGTGTTGTGGAAAAACTAACAAGCCAGCTAGCTAAGTACCCTTGGATAACAAGAGCAAAGAAACACTTACAACAAAGTTAATGAACAAAGGAAGCCTAGGGAGGGGGCTGTGGTCTTGGATGGCAGATAAAAATCATTGAAGGAAAAATTTGTGAAGGCTTTGAATTTAAAGTCTCTCATTTCTCTCTTTCTCTAATAGAGGTTGGTGTCTTGGCAAAACAGTATCTTGAGCAAGGCCTTTTGGTACCAGATCATGTAATCACTCGTCTCATGATGACAGAGTTGGAGAAAAAACAGACTGAGCACTGGCTGCTGGATGGTAAGTAAACTGCATGGTTTTAGTTCTTCATCCCCTTGCTATTTCTTTCTCCATTTGAAATTAATCTGCCTCAAGCTCTTGAAGCCAACCTGCTTTGCCATGAATAATTTCTTATTAAAACAAATGTGACACGTACACAAACAGAACCAAGCAAAGTCACTGCAACTTGTTCAGCTGCGGGGGTGAAGGGAGGGGAATAGAAAAAACACTTCTGAGAACTTATAAGGACAACCCATTCGCATTCTGAAGTTACTGCTTTGTGAAAAGAAACAGATCCTGCTTGCAAGAAATCACATTGACTCACAGGGTCCTTGTTATAAGTTAGATCAAAAATCCTTTTGAGAGGTACTATCATGCTGAAAGCATTTGGAGGTTTCTGTAGGACCTGTCATGCTGCTGGTATAGCACGTGGCAGTACCTTGTACAATGTGGGATGGAGACAGGCTACAGAGCCTCCATAAAGGTAAACACCATTTGCTTAACAGACCCTTTCCCTTGTGGAGTCCCTTTCATTAGCGGAGTTTCTTCCATCCTGATCCCTGTAACAGAGGCCCTCAAACTGAAGGCTATAGCCTTGACTTGGTGGGTTCTTGTCACTTCTCTTATCTGCAATAATCTCAACAGGGGAAATGAAGTTACTGCTGCTGCTGACTTGCTGCACTTAGTCCCCCTCCACCCCTCCTGGGGTGCAAGGTGAAGTGCTCATTTCCTGCTCTGTGCCAGTGAAGTGCACTTTTCCAGCCTTTTGGATTTTTCTCATGTACAGGAACATGGGAAGCCTGACAAGAACCCTGTGTTATGCAAAACAGGCCTCTCACTCAGTGCAGTATTAAATCATGGCATGCAGCAACTGGTGGGTGGGAGTGACTGGAGATAAGCCAAGATAAATATCTTTTTCATGGGCATATAAAGTAGCAAGACTCAGTTCTATATTGTGTGCGCCATTAAGAAGCTTTAAAAATGCTCAAAATGCAATCGGGCAATGTGGGTGTGTGTGGGGCGTGGTGGTTCTCTCCTCCCTGCTGTACCCACGCACTGCCTCTGGTTATGAAGGTGAATTCTGCTAAGAAATAAGGTCCCAGTTTCTCAACCAAAATCACTTTTTGGGGAGTAGGTGGGAAAATTGGATGTCCATCTGGTGTCATACAAAGTCCTTTTTCTTAGCATCAGGCCTGTAGTACGAGCGGCTTGACCAAACCGAGCATTTTTAATAGCAGCAGTTTCCAGTCTCCACATCTCCCCAACTTTTAACTGTTATTTGTGCACCTACTTTTTGTTGTGACAGGTGGTTACCAGTGCCCTGAGTTTTGTATGTTTGCGGGGAGGGGGAGTTAGACGAGGGATTAACTTGTGAACATATTCTGCAAAAGTAGTGTCCTGTTCTGCACCCCCTCTGCTTCCTTCCGGTGAAATTGAGATGAAACCTTTCTGAACAACGCTAATGACTTTAAATGGAAAAACAGTGATGAGTATCTGAGGGCCTATATTATGGTATGGCATACTAGAAATATGTACATGTTCATTTACGTTATAATTATGTTTGATAAATTAAATTACATTATAATTATGTTTGATAAATGTATGTACAGTAGCTTAGGTCTTGGAGTTCAGATCTAGTTCAGGAAGCTAAAATCTGAACTTTACAGCATTGTCTCCTTGCTAGCACAGATGAGGGTTTGTGCTGATCTCGTGTGTTACATATGAATGGCTCTGACTTTTGTCTCTGAGAGCTACCATTTAAATCCATTTTATTTCCACTTCCTAGAGAGGTCTTGCTTAATAGATTGGAGCAAAAAAAGATGTAGTTGACTTTTTAAAACAGCCCTTAAAGTGCTCTTGGCCATGCATTCAGAGTAATCTTTCCGTATCCCATTCTAAACAAGTCGAGAAAAAACTTGCTTTGGTGTGATATTTACTCTTTTAGTCACGGTCACTGGCTAGATGCAAACTCAAGAATGTAAGAATTTTAAACTATGATCCTATGTGTTGTAATTAGCTTTTACTTGCATTATAAAATGCAGCTTCAGTGAGACTGGTTGGTATTAACCTCTTGAGTACTTCTGTGAGACCTCCAGCCAGTGTCTGTCCACATTTGGTAATAATCCTCCATTTGTGGCTCCTGAGATGATTTCATGGAAGTTTATAGAATATAGTGCATAGATGACTCTGCTGGTATGGACCCAAAATTTCAGTTGGTACAATGTAGACCAGAGGCAGGCAATTATTTTGGGTGTGTAACAGTGAGCGGGGCTCCCCCCAGAGGTGTGCAGATGTATGTGGGGGGTGCATGTGTGGGAGGTTGTAGTGTTTGTGTGGTATGTGATTGTGTGGGGGAGGGTATGGATGTGAGGTTTGCAGGGGAGCATTTGTGGGCATGGTGGGGTGTGCATGGGACCCCTGCGCACACCCCCTGAGTCAGTCAGCACCTGCTCCTGCAACAACCCAGGGCCCGTATACCCTACAGCGCCTTCCCGCCATCACCAGCAGTGCACAGCCCCAGCTCACCCCATGCCCACTCCGGAGTTGCCCCTGTTGGAGCAGATCAGCTGGAACCCACGCACAGCCCCAATGCAGCCTGCCCCATACCACCCAGCCGTGGCGCGTCCTGCTGGCCCCTGGGCATGCAGCAGGGCAGGGGCAGCTCCGCAGCAGGACTACCCTTCTAGGCAACTGAGGTGACAGGCGGCTCCTTCTGGCTGCTGCTGGCCCCAGCCCTACGGTACCGATGGAGACCTGCACTGCACAGCCCTGACCCCGCGTGCCCTGTGCCTGCTCCAGGCTCACTTGCCCGGACCCAGCAGCTGCAGCGCAAGACTGAAGCTGTCGCTCAGTGCAGGGGGAAAGCAGCTGCTCCCCTCCCACTGCTGGCAGTTTCCCTGCTACAGCTGCATAGAGGCTGCACAGGGCTGCCCTACATTTCCACTGCCACCTCTGGGCTTCCCCATGGGGCAGTGGTGGCAGTGCAGAGCAGATGCAGGGCAACCCTGTGTGGGCTCCAGGCAGCTGCAGCGGGGAACTGCCAACAGCGGGAGGGGAAGGGGTCACTTTCCCCCCACACTGAGCAACAGCTTGTGTCCTGTCCTGTGCTGCTGCTGCTGAGCCTGAATGGGTGAACCCAGAGCAGGTGTGGGGTAAAGGCTGTGCAGTGAGAGTCCCCACTAGTACTGTGGGGCTGGGGCCAGCGGTAGCAGCTGGAAGGAGCTGCCTGCCACCTGGCCTGCCTTAACAGGCAGCCTAGCTGCGAAGCCACCCAAACCCTTTTGTGTGCCTAGGTGGCGGTAGGATGTGCCATGGCTGAACTGTGCTTGGACCAGGAGACCGAGGGGACCCTCCTGTGGCCTGTATTTTGTCCACCCCTGGTGTAGACAAAGTAATCCAACACTTATAAGACTTTAGACTGCAAGCTGTTCACGGATTTGACAAAGGAAAGGGCAAAGGAGATATATGCAGGAGCAAAGTGCTTTGTACAGAGGACCTGTAGACCTGGGCACTGATCCCAATCTGCCTTACCCACTGAACTAGTTGTGGTCCTATAAATGGATTCATTGGCTTTGTTTTGTGCTGCATCAACACTGCAGTGACTTGATCCGAATTCTCCCATCCCTTATGAGCCTTGTTGTAAGTTGAAAATAAAGTCTTTGCCTGGGAGACCTGTACACACTCTGTAGGGTGTGGTTTTGGTTTTTAATAATTCTGTTTTTCTTCTGTGTAATGCTTTACTTCCTTCAGAGGAGTGCACTGAAAAATAAAAGCTTTTTCTTGGGTGAAGTGGCATAAATTGAGGATTTCTAGGTGGTGCTGCATCAGAACACAGTCTTGTGGAAGGTAGCTAGTCAAGAGTATGCATGCTCATAGGTGGTTAGTCTGTAATCCCTGAAAGTCCTAAGGTTCATGCTAAGCCTCTCAATGTCCTGCATCCCTTGTGTACTTTGGAGCTTGCTGTCTTTCAGAACCAGCATGTGGTTGTATAGCAGAGGTGTAAAGCTTTCCCATGCTGTCCACCTCGCACAATAGGTATCAGGAGCACCATTCATAGGAGGTAGGAGAGGATGCTGGAAACTTCCATTTAATTTTAAGTAGCAGTTGTTCTAGGGTGAGGAACAGTTTTATGGTGGTAAATGGCAGGACAAAGTAGAAAGGTCGCGTTTATCATTAAGATCTGAATTATTGCAGCTGGATATCTAGCTTGCCCACCAGGGATGTGGGCTCCTGCAGAAGTAGCTTGTCTTACTTGCTAACTTGGGGAAGGCTGCCTTCAGTTGAGCCATGTCATCTTAATGGCAGCCATACAGGGAAAGAAACCAATAAGCCATGTGTGCACACCATTAACATAAATAATAAATCAACTTTTACATTAGTTTAAAAAAAATTTATTCTCCTAATGGCTAATACAGTAACTGTTCTGACCTTCTGGTATGTACTCTAACTTGGGGAATGCTTTTCTCAAAGCACTGGCAAATATAAAAGTGAGCCTCTCAAAGGCTTGGAGAGGCAAGCCAGTCTTGGCTGTAACATGGGCAGTACTGTAATTTGACCAGTGATTGGGGCACTTGGTATTTAGGCAGTTTGCCCTGGAAAGAAGAGAACCTTAGTTGCCTGTTGTTTGTTCCCTGCTCTGACTACTGCAAGGTCCTTCTGTTTTTGGATTTGTGTGTGTGTATTTAAGTAAAGCTGAAGTTTAATTGAATTTTATTTTCCCCAGTTCATTGGCAAACCAGATATGTGATATATAATAGCTCCCAATGCCCATCGGTCTTACTGGGAGGAGACTGCACAAGTGGTGTAGCAAGATGGTATGTACTGGGTTCAGTCATTCTGCTATGAATCCAGATCAACAAAGATGACCTTTTGTAATGGTTTGCGTTACTCAGACTCTGAGGTGTATATCCTTACTCTTAATGTCCCAAAACTTGTCTAGCACTTAACAAAGTCTCAAACCTATTTCTCACTAAAACAAGGATCTTGTAGCATAAATACAGCTACCGATTTGTATGAGTTAT